CGAAGAAACCGTGTTGTGACTAAACCCGAATGTGGTTCATACAGATGGTTTACTAAAGCCATACCACTTTTTCTTCATCTGTTGATGTCGGACTTTGGTGTCTTCTTGCACTGAGAGAGGGCATAGGCCCTTTGAAGTTAGTGGGCATCTTTTCATTAACTTTAGTGCTGACTTCATTATATCCAGACTGAAATTTACCCCAGTTCAGACGCCCCCTCAGAGCCCCTACATTCCACTTAAAAATCAGTTAATTTCTAAATCATGCAATTAAATAGGGCTTAAATAAAAGTTCTTCTTTATACTTAGCTAAATTTTATGAAAAGATAATTTGAGCTGTCTGCAAAGATATATCTATCTGGAAGGTTTAGGTTAGTTTACATAGCTGTGTTGTATGTTCTCATACTAGCAATAGAAATCACATTATATTTTTATACAGGATCGTATTTCCAATTATACAATTGTAAAATTACATATTCCAAATGAAACAGATACTCTAAACTTAGAGCATGGTTTTAACGGAATCCAAACTACTAGATTATTGAAGAAATGGCTTATAGCCTCTTAGCTGTAATTTGAGCCTTCCCTAGCATATTTCAATTCCACTCACGTATTTGAAAGTAGGTGATACAAATAAAATAAAAACCAGTGTAGGCTGAATGTTTGTAGAATTGAATGTTTGGAAAGCAGCTGTATCTCTAAGGTGGTTTTTTTCATCCAAATTTGCCTACATTTTGAAATTTAAACTGAAAGGAATTACTTAACTAGACAAGTTTTACTCCTGACAGTTCTGAAATCTAGTGGGAGGATCTCAAATTGTACTTCTACATGGAGAGATAGGGGCTAAAATTATCGTAATTTACATTTAAATATTTCCAGTTTGGAACTTCTTTGGGTTCACTGGAATAATCTCCACAACCCTGGATACCTTAAAAAAGAAATTATCACAGCCTCCTTGGCCTTCCTTGGAGGTACAATGCTGCCCAAGGTCTGGAACAGACCTGATGGACAGACTCCTCCTTATCTTTGCATGACCTGTCCCTGCATCAGAGCACGCCACTGGCTTCTCTGTAAGGAGAGCTTTCTTTCCATTAAGAGGCTATTTCATTGCTCTTTAGCTTCTCAAAGTAGCTGCAAGGAAGGTGAGATCTGTAGGTCACTAAAAAATCCCATATTTGATTAAAAAACACTTTTTCATTAGTTTTGAGGATGAGAATATGTGATGGTTATGGCAGCTTTGTTCCACTTTCTTAGTTAAGAGGAATCTTCCTCCTTTCTGTGTTGCTGACGTTGCACGAATTCATACATTGTTTTAGAAAAAGTGATAAATGTAGATTGTCACACTGAATTTTTCCTGTATAACCTAATAGAAAACTTCCTTGGAAAATGTGTTGAACTTTTCTTAGCTCCTACTAAGAAAAAAATATAATCACTGCACACATAAATCCTGGATACTTTCATATTTTTGCATGTGGAAAACATTATTACAGTTTTACAGCTGATCATACTGAGATTTTCAGAGAATAGTGAGATTCACTCATCATTTTGTTGCCAACAAAGAGTTTAGCATTCTGCAAAGCCCGAACAGGGAATGGGACGATTATGCTGCCCATTTCTTCACTCTCAGCATGGCCAACTTGTTGTCGTATCTACAAGACAGTACGTGCTGGATACAGTTGTGGTGCAAGTTACCATTATCCTAAGGATAATCTGTGCAAATGTGGCATCATGATAATTATGCTTTTGGAATAAGCGTAGTAGGAGAAGAATGGGGAGCAACACAGCCCTTTCCCTCTGTTGGCTGTGTGAGTCTCATGAAAGGATTTGAACTTTACTTAATTGGCATCTGTGATCTTCCAACTAATCCATCATGGTGCAAATCCATCATCTGCTGGTTTGTGACCCATAATTAAGGGCTACTTAGGCATAGTCAGGAAAGGAGGTGAAGCTGTGGGACACAGCTGAATGGAAAAAATTAAAGACTTGACCAATGTTTTTCAGCATCTGGAGAGTATATATTGCAAATACGTATTTGATTATTCACCAGTGCTTATGGTAGGGGAACCCTGCACACCAAAACCACTTTAAAATAAAGGGTGTTTTGACTGAAAAAGGCTACAGTATCTGTCCCGCATGCCTCTCTGTGAGCTAGGAGTAAGCGGGGTACAACCAAGGGAACTGGAATGCTGCCATGCTACTCCTATTAGCCAAATGTTAGTTACAAAGAAAAGTAGAAAGCACCAGTACATAAAAAAAAACCAGCAGTAATATTTAGCACTGTGTAGTAAATATAAGAAATTTAAATGTGCACAAACAGAAAAAGTGGTTTATAACTATGATGATGACTTTTCTACCTACGTGGCTCTGTCCTTTTCTGATTGCATCCTGATCATATTCTTTCTTTTCTCACTGCTTTCTTTCCTCCCTTTCTTAGGCAAAGCTTGGAGATGAAATTCTTGACTACAGGGATTTGGCTGCTCTTCCTAAAAATAAAGCCATCTATAACATTGACCGCCCAGATATGATCTCCTATTCTCCATATATCAGTTACTCTTCAGATGACAGGCATAGTTACGGGGAGGTACTGAAACATGGGTATTTTTTTATTATGAATTTGAGATTTTATGTGCATTGTTAAACGTGCTGCTGAACACTCTTAAACGTGTGCATAATTTTAAAAAAAATTTTTCTAACTTCAGTTAATTGAGTCATGTCATCCATCCATTCACAAGGCACGTTAGCCTTCCAAAAACCAGTGAGAGGTTCATTTCACTTTTTAGTTTGTGGAAATTAAAGCATTGCTTCCTATGATTGTTTTTTAAACAGATGACATGTAATTAAAGTATGTTTTTCTGTGAGAGGAGTTCTACATGCATGTGGTAGGAAACAGGAGCCATTGCTAATTATAATGCAAAAATCAGAAGCAAAGCCAAATGTCTTTCATGATTTTTTTTTTTTTTTTTTTAAAGTGTACCATGTTATTTTGGTAACACAACACTGGTATCCCTTTCCTGTGTACAAATTTCTTTCAACTGTCTCTTACTAAAGTTCATCCTCATGTCATGCATGCGTTTTAACCTATTCATATGCAGAGCTAATATTACACAGTTTGTGCTATGAAATCCAATTTAACATAATCTTACTAATACTAATTGTGTTTCTTGTGAAGCATATTTGTATATAACTCCTGTCATGCAAGTTAGCTTTTCTTCCCTAACCTTATCTACCTTTTATTTGAATTTCTGATATTTTTTTATAATTTTAGATACTTTTTTACAAATCAGACCTCTTATATATACTAGGTATATTATCAATATATATATATGGTCTAGAATGGAAATCTGCATTGTTCTCCATAGGTGTAAGTGAATGGGTAGAAATAAATACTATAAGTAATAGCCATACTGTTTATAATAGCCCCAGTCCTACTATCACTTACACTTTACACTTAACCTACTACTAAAGTCTCAGTACCACCCTCAGGTAAAGTGCAGCACACATGTTAGATCTTGCAGACTCTCCAAACCCTCTCTGTACAATGCTGAACCACAGTAGTTTTATTATAATGCATGCTAAAAGAATTAAGATTGTATCTGGTAAAGGGTTTAAATCCTATTTAAGTTTCTGAATTCACAAAACTGAAAGCTCCTTGTTAGCCTTGAACTTGTGGAGTATAAACATTTCCTTTCTGTGTCAAAACATGTGGGTGCTGATAATGTTTGTGACCCTCCTCAACTGCTCATTTACAGCTAGACTTGGCAGGGGTGCATAGACTAAACAACCTTCTGCCCAGCTCCTGGGAAGACTCACTCATTGCACCTGCTCCAAGGTAATGGTTATAAAACCATTGCACCCAGCATAAATCTGTGCTGCAGCTGGAGGGAGTTTCCCCCTGCCTGCCCTCAGTATCTCCTTAGCCACTTGCTTCTGAGCCTCTCCTTTGGCAGAGCGTTTGGGTGGCTGTGGTAGGGCTTAGGTTTCTTCTGAACCCCTAGCATGATCTGACTCTATGCCATCACTTGAAGGCTGGAGATACTACGGGCAGGACAACTGCCTGCTGGTGTGGAGAAACTGCACATCTTGGTGGCAGTCCAGCCTTTGCTGGGACCCAGTGGCTGTGAACTGTGGGAACCTCAGCATTGTACTTTCAGGAGCAGGATAGAAGGCAGCTGCAGTTGAGCTCTAAAAAAACCAACCAACCAAAGAAATAAAATCACAGCGAAGAGGGTATTGCTGCTGTCACCTGCTTTTAGTGGGTAGCACAGTGATGAGACCATGACAGGAGGCATTTACTGGGACAACAGGAGTCATTGCCTTTTTCAGTAAACATAAAACTTAACAGAAGAGAAAAGGGACCACATCGTGAATGACGGCCTTTTCACTTGAGGCTCTAGGAGTCACCTACAGCGTTTGCCCCAACAGCTTAACGCTGTCTCAGGTACGTCTGTGCTGATGGCATTTAGGTCTGCCAAGACATCAATGATATCTTAAAAAATAAAAAAGTGGAGTCCAATCATCTGTTTCTAGGTGCCTAAACCAGGAGAGGATTTTGGGCTGTGCTCACAATCCAACAGGCACATTTTTGAGATGGTCTACGTATTTACATCCTTGATGTTTCCAGGGGGAAAAAATACAGAATCATAGAATATCTCAAATTGGAAGGGACTCATAAGGATCATTGAGTCCAACTCAGAACTACCTAAAACTAGATTCTGTGACTAAGCGTCATCCAGACGCTTCTTGAACTCTGACAGGCATGGTGCTGTGACCACTGCCCTGGGGACCCTCTTCCACTGACTGACCAACCTCTCAGTGAAGAACCTTTTCCTGATGTCCAATCTGAACTTCCCCTGATGCAGCTTCACTCCATTTCCTCGTATCCTATCGCTGGTCACCAGAGAGAGGAGATCACCACCTCCCCCTCTGCTGCCCACCTTAAGGAAGTTGTACACTGCGATGGGGTCACCCCTCAGCCTTCTATTCTCCAAACTGAACAAACCAAGTGACCTTAGCTGCTCCTTGTAAGTCTTGTCCTCAAGACCTTTCACCATCTTGGTCGCGCTCCTCTGGACACACTTATAATTTGATGTCCTTCTTATATTGAGGTGCCCAAATCTGCCCACAGCACTCAAGGTGGGGCCGCACCAGCGCAGTGTAGAGTGGGACAGTCACCTCCCTTGACCGACTGGCTATGCTCTGCTTGATGCACCCCGGGACATGGTTGGCCCTTTTGGCTGCCAGGGCACACTGTTGACTCATATTCAACTTGCCATCAACCCAAACCCCCAGATCTCTTTCTGTCCCTCAGTCCTCTTGTCCCCCAGTTTCTATGTAAGTATATCCCGTCTTCCAAATCTCAGCATCCTGGCTGCACCCGCAGCTGCAATAGTTTCAGCAGATTTCTGCTCAGCTAAGTGAGTTTAGCCTTTAATTTTGAAAGGAAAATGAACAAACAGCAAATTTTCAAATTACGTGATGTTTAACTAAAAATTAAATAGTACAGATATTTTTGCTTCCCTTAATACAGCCAGCTCTGAGCAACAAAGTTCTAGTCTAGATTTTGGAGCTGCTTCAATGGAGATTTAACTAGGGCTTGTGTCTGGTTTCAGGTGATTGCTTTGAATGTGAGTTTCCCTACCAGCAGCACTCTCTGTGGTACAGTGCTGGCCTCACCAGACTCCAGGATTTTGTAGTAAAGAATTCAACAAAAGCTTTATATGAAATTATTTAGCTCTTATTCCTCGTTTTCTTCTTTAAAAGCAAATAAAAAGAAAAGTTGCCCTAACTTTAATTGACAGGTGTTTTTCCTTACTGTATCATGTGTTCTACACGGATATTGATATTTTAAGAGTAGCTCTTCTCACAAGTAACATCATGCATGAATTTGTATCACTAATTTGTTGTGTGTTGCTGTTTGCAGTCACCTCAGTTGCTCTCTCCAACGACTACTGAGGTAATCCCCAATGCCTTTGTTCTCCTGTTATGACCCATTTTGTGATGCATAAACCTGGTCATACTGATAACCCGCAGCGTCTGAAATGTGGGGTTTGCCTCCTGCCTCTGCCGTGCATGGGGTTTTATAATTTGTGGTTTTCACACTGTTACTTGTGTTGAATACGTGCTCTGCTTCTGGATTGTCATCTGTATGCATCGATCTCCACTGTCATCCATGATTCTGCTTTCCAAAATAAAGGTTGTATTGTGGTCACTTCTTCAAGCTCTACTAAATGAATTACGCTCGGAAATATGATTTGTTTACATTTAAAGCTGCCAGAGTGAACTGACTTGAATTAATGCTGGCATAGCTTTCTCTTATTTTTTTATTTATTTTTATTTTTTTTTCCCCACAAATAGTTAAACTGTTGATACTATTTGTGCACACATACCGTTAAATCATTTGCACGTACCTGAACTTCTGTGTCTGTGGTTTTTGATGTGTATTAATGATCAAAGCCAGTCATTGTTTCAGGAAACATCACCTTGGCAGCTGTGAAAGCATTTCACATAGCTTCCCAGGTAGTAACTCTGTTACATATCACAGGCCTGGCTAATTTCTCCATTATCCTAATTTTGCGTTAAGAGAACTGTATTGCAAAATTTTGGTAACAGTAGAGAATTGCAGATTTTCATTAAGGATTGTAAATAATCAACTGTCACTATGAGCATTGGTTAAACAGAAAAGTTAACCAATAGAAATGTAATCTAATTGGTAGTTTAAAAATAAAAACGTGCTTTACTTAATATTGGATTTCGTGAAGTTAATTGACTTTTCCTTACAGAGACAAAAAGTACGCAAAATATAAGGTCTGAATTAATCAATACGGAATCTTGGTGTTTTGGAAGTAATTTCCTTTAAATTAGCTATCAGTTAGGAAACAGTCATACTATTAAATTCCAGAAGTTGCACTGGTATGGAGGTTGGTGCTGCCATGGTTCATGTTAGTGAATCCTCCCGGTTATCCAGATTTGCCATGCCATCTTTCTCTAAAGGGTCTATGATCAGGTGCTCAGGCATCATCATCTGCAAACTTGTCACCAGTTTTATTGCAGGGATTTTTATTAGAGGAAAATGCCACTGTATCATACAATTGGACACATCACAGACCATTAGCTACCACTCATATGATATTTAGATATCATCACAAGACTTTCTAGATATTGCTGTACCGCCTGTAAATCTCTTCACAAGGGTTAGAGTGGGTATTAAATAATGCAGCTACTTCAGGAGGGAAACATCTGAAACTGGGCATAGAGAAGATGCTGGCAGAATGCCTACAGAGCACTGCATGCTTGGGAAAGCATCAGTTGTTCTCACTTTTTTGTATAATTTCTTCTGAAATCGATATTAAAGCAGTAATGCTGCTTACCACTATACAAAACTGATTTTCCATTTTTCAAAACATAGTCAGTGAGTCTGGGGTGAGGTGGAAGGGATGGAGCACACCTGAACCAGAGGAAAAAACTGATGATGGGAGAACATTCTACATCTGTATGGAGTCAAGAATAATTCCAGAGAAGCCAGATAGGAAACTGCATTCATCTAAAGATGGATGGTTGGATACAATTAAGTTGTCCTGATAGGAATTTGGGAGATGATGATGGAGCTAAGTAGGATCTCCTATGTGTTTAAATGATGAACGATCCAATGGAGTCACACAGGTGGCTGAAGGTGTCCCAGTATTCATGACAAGTGACTAACACCTCCTATGGTGTAGCCTATTTTCACTCACTCCTACTGAATAAGAGAGGGGAAGCATTTTTTTGGAGTATGACATTCCATCTGGGAGCATCTGTGAGTTACACTGATTTGTTGTAATCTGAAGTTAACTCAAGCCAATTCCTGCTTGTCTTAAAAGAAACAAATTTGAATTTGCATTTATAGGTAGTTTACAAAAAGTAATTTCCACATCTGATTCACTCAGTAATGCTTTTACTGTTAAGAGGACACTGCATGCAAATTGCAATTATAATTTAACTAGCTACAGAGAGTGAGGGGGTTGGAATGGGTGTACATGGTTTTAAGTGGTTGAAGCCAAGGGTTTAGTGGGAAATGGGTTGTATGACTTGCTTTGCACAGTGTACCACACCAGTATGAATGCTAATGCTGTATATGAGTGTTTCTTACCAGTTACCTAGCTAGTAATGACCATTTTGTAATATAGTATGCTGGGCAATTTATACAGCAGGCACAGTAGTTTCTGTGGTATAATGAAGCCAACAAATGCTGATTTTTGTGTTGCCTGTAACCGTTATGCATCCATTCTTATGGGTACAAAGTGACCATAGTACTATCACGCTAACCTGATCTCACCTTAGAGTCATAGAATCATCTAGGTTGGAAAAGACCTTTAAGTTCATCAAGTCTAACCATTAACCTAACCCTGCCATCCCACCTGTCTATGTTCTTATACTGTCCTGAAACAACACCTCTACAGTGTTACATTCTTTTCAAATTATATTGTTGTTTTAAATTCATGTATGTGCTGACTTTCCTGAGAACATGACCGTTCTCTGATACTTGGCAGAGCTCCTTCGGTCACACTGCGATGGAGGTGCTTAGGGCTGAAAGCCCCCTCATTTCATTGGGATTGCATGGAGCATTACAACAGCATCGACTTCCATCTGCATGGCACAGAAACATGGAAAACGGCATATTCTGTCAGTTTTGGAAGTTATTCCTCTTCCCTAATGACATACATTTCCTCTCTCCCTCTCAGGGTGACCAAGATGACAGATCATTCAAGCAGTACAGGACTTCAAGCCCTAGTTCTGCTGGCTCTCTGGGCTATGGTCGCTACACTCCGACCTCCCATTCTCCTCAGCATTACAGCAGACCAGGTAATTGAAAAGCAGTCTTATATTTATTCTCTAGATTTTTCCACTACTTTGCGTTATGTTGTAAGTAGGATAGACTCCAGCAGACAAGGGGGTTAAGGTGGAGTAGTAGTTCATAGCGGTGATTTATTTACAGAGACTTCCATGGGGAGTAAGGAAGTAAGTGATTCAGAAATGAGCATCTAAGAAAACGAAAACAGGCATCTAGAAAGATTGTATCTGTAAACAGAAGATAGAATAGTTTAAAGGACTTAGTCCTGGTCTCATCATTCCTGAATCTACACATTCAATCCACAGCTCTTCCACGGTGTGGCATGGTAGCAGTGAATGCACACAAAGCCAAGACGGTGATTGAGTGACTTCGTATCCCTTCTTGTACCGCAGGATTATGGTCTGTGTCTCCTCTTCACAGTGCAAGAGCTGGAGGAGTGACTAGTGGTCCTAATGGCTGGATTTTGAAGGCCAAGTTGCTTTAGTTGAGAAGCTTATAGCAATGTTTATTGCAGTTTTGGGCTGTAGTAGCAGCTGTGTTGATGATTTTGTCGCACAGAGGAGGGATCACCTCCTTTTGATCTTTGCATGGGGCTCCCTTACAAAAGCCCATTCATATTTGGGCACTGTACAGAGTTTTATCCTTGGAAATAATCAACTAGATTGCTCAAAATGAATTCTAATTTTTCTCCACTCTGTCATTTGGGTGGAAAACACAGAGCATTTGTATTATTTTCTTGGTGTCTTTTAACTTTTTTGGGGATACATTATAATTATCAACTAGTTTGGAATATTGGAAGCTCTTAATCTTTCCAGTAGAAATTAAAATTTTATGGGTAAAACAATTTTTACAGGAATTGAATACTTGTATTACATAAAGTCTTTGATGAAGTGGAAATGAGATTGAGTATGAAAGAACTATTAAAGAGAGGAAAGATTAGTCTCCAATGAAGGTCTGGCAGCTGTGTCATGCTTAAGCTTAGCTGCACACTGTTAAAGCCAGGAGGAAAGACAAAAGAAATTCCAAATTAATTCCCATGTTTTACAGCTTCATTGAAAATTTGGAAGACAGTCATCATAATTGCCACTTTTAATAATTGCCATTAGTCCTCAAAAATACGTTATCAGGGCAGTATTACAACAAAGCAAAGATGACTTCTGAGAACATTTTTCCAAGTACCTAATCACATGTCTAACTTTCAGAGCTCAAATAACTTCAGGATGTTTCCTCAAATGCTTAAATTAGCCTTGGTGCTTGTGAACTGAATCCTACCAGTGTGCACTGGCGGCAGTGAGAACTGGACCCACTCATAGCACAGTTCTCAGCAGAGACGAGGCTCTCCCCATTTCATTTCATTAGATCCATTATGAGCATATATCATTCCCTCTTGCAGCTTTTGAATACGCAGATTTTCCCCTGAGCGAAGCTATGCTTTTTGTGGTGCCTTTTCTGGAATATTTTCTGATGCGTTACATTATCAGCATTTTATCTGCGCTTCCTGTCTGCAGCAAACCCGTGTCCCTTGGCCAACCTCATAGCATGGCCACTCTAAGGTTTTTGCAATAACCAGAGAAAGATGGAGTCTTAAATATAAACTATATGTTTTCTAAGCATCAGGAGGAAAATGTTCCTGAAAAAAAGGATGGCATTGTAATTTGTGGCTTTCAGTAAGTGAACTAAATAGTTTATTTTCACTTACTCTCTGTTGCCCCCAGCTGGTACTCAGAGTCTTGGTACCAGTAGCTGCATCTCCCTGCCCCAACACCCAAGCCCTACATCTACATTCAGACATCATTACATCCCTTTCTTCAAAGGTAAGGTCCAGGAATGCAAAACCGTGCTGTGATACTGTAGACTTATTCAGATGTGTTTCACTTTTATGTCTGTGCAAGCATGGCTTCCACTTGGATAAAATTTGTCTTAATTTTGTGCAAGTGCTTTCTTGATGTACTGTGTAAGTTTTAAAGAACTGAGTGAGTATGGGTTGTTTTATTTTTGCTTTTTTTTCAGTGAGTGTTAAATGTTTTTCAAAGGGGTGGAGGGAAGGAACTAGATTTTCTAATGAAAATGAGGGAGGCAAATAATTTAAAAGTCTATTTGTTTTAAAATACAGTATTTAGCCTATTTTGGTGACACTAAATAAGTATTATAACAAGCTTATATGTTGGATCCAACATTGGATGATCAGTTATCTAACCTTCTAACCTACATCTAGGGATTCTTCATGTTATTTGTAGTATTAACAAAAATATGCCAGATAAGCTGGTTAAATCAATATACCTGCACTGAGTAGCAAATAATGTTATAAAAGAGAGTAACTGAGTCTAGCCTCCTTGCCATTAATTTTTTTTGCAGTGAATATTAACTTTCAATGATCTCCATGTTGCAGATGTGGGACAGTAATGAGAAATGCCAAGAACTTTTGAGGCAAAGGCTATTTTTTTTAGCTAGTCAGTTAAATGTCAGAGAGAGAAGGCATTCAGCTATCACATGTGTCTTCCCCTGAGTCTGCCCTCTCTAGTAACAATACAAGTGGGGAGGAGACAGGAGTGATGGATGCCAAACATTTTCAGTGCCCGTTCCTTGACTCTCATGTACTGTCTGATTTAATAAAGCAAAACTGTTCTTTTTGCCTTCATAAACATTACAGAAAAGGAAGTGACCCTCTGCAGGAACCAGACATGCAAACTCAAATGAATAACAGGCGCTCATCACCTTTGGAAAAATAACTAATGCATCCTCATTGGGCCCTAATGCCTCCAGAAACAGTTCTGTCCAAAAGCAGCTGAATCTCACTGGCATAAGCAGGAACAGAGTCAAGCTCGAGTCTCCCAAATGTGATCCCCAAGAGAAAATTTTGGAAGAAAAAGCTGATGAGATTAAACTGAGTTGTTGACATTTTAAAGACAACTTGCAAAACTCCTTCCCACACCCACAAGCACTCACCCTCCTCAGACATTTCTTGGAAGGCTGGCACACACCCTGGTATTCCCTGAGGTGCTGTGTGAACAATTTTTTGATCTGCCCTCTGAATTTGGACGATACCATCCAACCTGATGTACTGAGTGAGAAAAACATCTTTAGTGTGCTGCAGTGCACGATTTCGCTGTACAGAAAGCTCTCTATTTGAAAGCCTGCCTGCAGTTGCTTAGCAGCGCTCTTGTTTAAATGAATTTCTGTTCAGTGCTACCTGCTGATGCTCAGAGCAGCAGCAATTACTTTGTGCTGCTGTTTGGAGGATGAACACCTCAAGTGGCAGCTCCTTGCGCCCAAACAATTATTAGTAGTGTGATCAAAATTATAATATTTTGCAATTCTGCAGTGCTTTTTATCAAGGAGCTAAAATACCTTGCAAGCAGTAGCTTACAGGGCCCCACAGTGCTCCTCTGAGGCAGGCGAGCCTGTTTATAATTTTCCTATATAGGTAACCCTGAGCCCTGCAGAGGTTGTATACGTTATCCACTGCTTTACACTGAGTTAATGTCTCAGTCTGAAAGGAGTCAAGAAGATTTGCCCCCATCCTCTTCAAGTTCTCTGAATTCTTTTCTCTGATTTGCAGTCTGTATTTTTTCCTTGCCCTGAGAAGCCTTTTGAGGGTGTCGAGGTGCTATTTTTTTTTCTCTTCGAAGTGGTTAGTGTGGGAAAAGTAGGACTGTAGAAATAGTTGCTTTGTATCCAGACCAAGGTTAATGTTGCCACTTCAGTTTTTAAAAAGTGAAATCACGCTCATTTAAAATTTTGTTATTAAATCCAAAAATAATACACTGTTTAATAATACTAGAAGTAATCTTTATAAAACCAGCACTCCACAATCATCATTAAAAATACTTCTTTAGGCTTCCAGGAGACAGGAATGCTATTACCCTAGAGAAATTAAAACAGGCAGAATCTTCCTTTCGACTTCACTGAGTTTGCATCGTATTCTTTCTGAGAATTACATGGTTCATCATTTTTCCAGTGAAAAATGATTATAGAGTTCCGGTTCTTTCCTTAGGATACTACAGTCTAGTTCCCATGAAGTGTAATGGGATGAGCTATCCTTCATCATGCAGACCAATGATTTGGTTGTGCTCTTTGAAGGATTTTTGTCTTCAAAATGTCTTCAAAATAAATCCTGTGCCAGCCTCGCTTCAAGAAAGCTTCACAGTTCATGCCCTTGCGAATCACAGGGTGTGATATTCCAAGTACCTATGCTTGGTGTAATTCTTGCTCTTGAGGTGACGGAGTCAGTAAGTGTACAGGCTGTGCTGGGCCCTACTAAAAAAAAGCTTACTTAAAATGTAGTAGAAAGTATCTTCCCTTTCTAGTACAGGAGCACAACTTCCAAAGCCTATTTATTTGGCTTTGAAAGCTTGAAAAGAATTAGTCATCAAGCTTCAGAAAATTTTGTCTAGCTTAATGCACCATGTGCAGAGATATTAAGGGATCTCGTTTCAGGAGTAGGCTCTGACATCTCCCTCGTTAGGCCTGTGGTATCTGCTTTTTGTTCAACCCCGAACTTAGACAGCTCTTACTGTAACTTGTTATCAAATTTCTCATCCTCCCAGATAAGATAAAATCTGACTGGGAAGGAGGTATAAACAGTGTGATACTTTTCCTGGCAATCCCTTGAAAAGGGAGCATGGTCTGAGCTCTGGTCAGTTGGCTCCACACACATAGGGTTAAAAGAGCAGCCTGCCCTGTCAGCAGCCAAAAGACACAAGGAAGTTTTTGTGGTTGACACTCAAGTTCAAAGTGAACGTTTCCAGATTCTTTCCAAGTTAAACAAAATCCAGGGAAGAGTTCACGATTCTGGTTTTTTGCTCTTCACTGACCAGTAAAGCAGATCACAGCCTGCAGCTGCTTGTGGCAGAAGACAAAACCAAAAGCTTGACAAATCTCTCTTTGTGGTACTTTATTTTCTCTGAGACCTTATTTGAAGTTCTTCTTCAGTGTATACCAGGCAAACCTTGAAAGAGACAAATTCTTGGCAAAGTCTCATTTTAGAGATTTTTATTATAGGCTAGATTAAATGACTGTCTGGAATTCCTACACATGAACTTTCTACATGGGTCTTCAGTTGGCGTTATTATCAAATACTTATTTTTGTAGGCAAAATGTGAAATACAACTACTCCTTTGTGTTTGTCCAAAACAGTGGCAGTTATAATTTAAATGTGCATCAGCTTGTACAAGTGGGCTGCAAGAAGAACCTTTCCCCTCATTTCATCCTTAGTTCTTCCCTTTCGAGCAAGTTAGAGGTAGTAGCTTTGCAAACCGCTCCACCCAGGTGATGCTTGCAACGAGCAGTTTGCACATTTGCTGCCCCCTGGTACTTGTGCTTGTGTCCTGTTTTCTTACAAGTTTATTCCTCTTAATGCTTCCTCCTAATTCCCCGCTGACACCCTACCCTATCCCTGAAGAATGACCTTCTATGTGTGTACAATGCCAGCACCTTGGGGTCACCGCTCAATGAAGTAATTATTCATAAAAGTCATATATGAATGAGTTTTTAATAATATGCTAATTTTAAGTAAATGAGGAATTAATGCACTATGAAAATCACTTGAAACTTTTCCTTTTCTTTTTAAATTAAAAAATTCCAGTAGTAACATCATTTTTGGATCAAGATTTTTAAGGCTGTTCGAGTTGTGGAGGACCTTACTTTACTAAGTGTCTACCACCGCTCTTTGCGTTCAAACTTGGAGTGACATTGAGGCTTCTTCCATTTAGTAGGGATGGCCAAGCATGTGGCAGCAAGGAAAAAGGGAATTAATAAATGGGCAGTGAAAAGCTGTCACCACTTCTTTCCTTCCAAGAGCAAAACAGGAATCAAGAAACTGGATAACCGTCTGGTTCCTTGTCTGAGGACAACTTGACTGCAAGCTGGTGGTGATGCACCAGATTTTTAGTAATGCACAATTCTTCCCTTACTTTTTGGAAGGACTATAGGCTATCATCACATGCAGTTGTGATTTCAGTTTCTCAACTGCTCTGATTACATTTTTTTCAACGCGGAAATCACTGTTATTGAGTACGCAGTGGTAATGGTGAATAGTTTTTGAGTTTTAATTTTTAACCAACTGTGGAAATAAGAGACACAAAATTTAGAACTTAGTGTATTATCATGAGATACATATCACGCTCTTCTGACCTTGTCTGGCCTTGATTCTGGTCCTGTTGAATTCCGTGGCACTAGCCAGTTGTCTTCAGTGGTGCACGTCAAGGCTGGCTTTGGGGACAGCCCAATGACCATGCATTCAGTGCTTGTCAGCAGAGGCAAGGGTTCAGCGGAGACTACTTCCATGGGCATGGCCCAGACAGTTATGGTAATCCAGGGGTTCAGCGGAGACTACTTCCATGGGCATGGCCCAGACAGTTATGGTAATCCAGTAGTTTTATGGTTATAAAACTTCCCCTCCCTGAAGGCAGAACTCAGTTAGAGATCTAGTGCTCTGAGCTGCTGTACTTTCTTTACCCCCAAAATACCTGCTATAATTTCATCCTTACTAGCCATCAAATTTGTGCTCCATCCACACTAAAACAATAACAGTGAATTAACAACCATTTTATGTTAGAATAAACGTCATGTTTGGCTTCCAGTTGCTTAACAGTGCTGTAAATTAATTGGATTTTACAAGTCCCAAAAAAGTAGAGCTTTACTTTTTTGTTTGCCAAGCAGCACTATAATGCCATAGAGGGTGCTTTGGGGAAATAAGAGGAAATAAATGGCACCTAATGAGCATTTGACAAGATAAGTAGAAAAATGAATATGGATCAGTCCTATGTACATCTTGAAATTTGGTGAAGTGACTATGGCATTATAGATCCATGACTTGATAATCCAACCTTGTTTGCATAAATACAAAACTCTGTGGCATGTTACCTGTGGGAAAGGTTTGCAATTAAGAACCAAATTTCAACATCTGTTTTTGTCCCTGATACATGCAGGAATATGTGACTTGACCGTAACATCTGGTTTTTGGTCTGGTCCCGCTTGGAGATAATTTAAACACTACTGAATGATTTTATTACTGGTTTCAGGGGCAGGCCATAAGCCATAGCATTAAACTTTTCAAAAACATGATTGATAGAATATTCAATTAAGGCTATGCAAAACACATTACAGGATTATGGATGTTCTTATCCTTTTATTTTCTTCATTAACATGTTGTTAAAAGAGAAGCTTTAGTTTCAAAGTGAGGCAGTTTAATCTGATGTTCTCTATCAGATATTCATTATTGATGGGATGTTTGGAGACTGAGCCAATATACTGTGCTGAAAAAGAATGGGTTTTTCAAAAAATGTATATTTAAAACTGTTGGATTAACAAGTCATTCTGAACAAGCTTTTATGCTTGAAATACTCTACTTTGCTTTCCATTTTTTCTTTTATCTGCTTTCTTTGCTCTTCCCCTTGGAGGCAGTGAAAGTGGTCGGAGCACTCCAAGCTTATCCATGTACTCAGACAGCAAATCTTCACCTTCTGTCTATCAGCAGGCTCCTAGACATTTCCATATTCCAGGTAGGCGTTCACTGCTTAGCTTTTGATCTTCAATTGCTGGCACCTGTTTGTTCTTTTCTGAATGTAATTTTTTTTTGCATTGATTTGTGAATTTCAAACTGCAAGAGAAGAAAATGTCTGATAAGTGAAAATCTGTTGCCTGTTAAACTTCGTCTCAGAAATAAGGGGAGTTAGAGAGCTATGTGCTTATGTATATAAAAAAAATGCTTTAGAGGAGGCACACAGTGAAAATGTTCGTAAGCCTACAAAGACACAATTATTTGTAGTGCCATAGCTGCTGTTGAATTTGTGTGCAGGAGGGAAGGCTGAAGGGGGTTTTGGTTTTGTTTATTTCCTTATCCAGCATATTAACATAGACTTTAAAAACAGCTGGAAGACTTTAGAACTCCACGAAGCTCACTGTGGCTGTGCCTTTGCATATTAAATTTATGTCCATGTTGTTCAGCTTTTTAACTGCTAGGCACATCTACCTGCTTAGTTTTATTTATGGTTAGCTTCTGGGGTTAATGTTTCTGTAAACACCATAATTAGGAATAGTATCTGCTCGGGTCTGTTGTATTAAGTGAATCTGATGTCTGTGCAAGATACTATGGGAACCCTGGACTGTGGCTCAAAAAATTCTTGGAAGGCCAAGTTAGCTATAGAACTCAACATAGAGACAAACTATGGGATTTCCTATAAGGATATTAGGCATTTCCAGTATAAACATCTATATCTGAACATGTACACTTTCTTCTTAATTAGTGGAGAAAGTCTCTTTTCAAGCATGGCTATTATAGTGACCTGTTGTATGTGAATTGTATTTTGAGTAGTGACAAGAGTAGCCAGTTTCTCTTTGTTGTCTCCTAAGTATACATTGGTGGTGCAGATATAGCCACCTACGTTTCAGCAAATGGATGCCACTTGAGGTGGCTTAAAACATTTTGGGGGGCGTAGGGGGGGTTATGCTGTATAGATAGACATAGCCAATGTTTTAAATATGTAAAGATGATGGGTAAGGCTCCATTCTCCGGTAGCAGCCAGTGAATGACAAAGCACTGAATGAATGCGTAGTCTTTGTTCAAGTGTTTGCATTTTAGTGTTATTGAGAGGAGACAAAAGCAGCATGGTCTGAACTGCCTGCTTACTCTTTTATTCTTTCCTTTCTCTTTCCTCTTCCTCAGACACTGGCGTAAAAGATAACATCTATAGGAAACCTCCTATCTACAAACAGCATGGTACAGTCTGCTTTTCTCTGTTGCAGTTTTCGCTACCTGTCTTTGTAAAGAAATGCATATTGACTTCCAAATTAGTTTGTTGTAGTCTTTGCATTTCATGATGTCCCTGTAATCTCAAATAGAAAAGGAAAAAAAGTAATGTGAACATTTAATAGTATTTTGTATAACATGCTGTCCAAGGATTCAGTAAAATTGAAAAGTAAAACTGAGTAAAACTGGAATAATGATATTTTGATTTGTCTTGCTAATTCAGAGTTCATACTAACTTCAAGGCAGTTTTCTTATTTATGGAATGATAAACCATGTAAATGTAGAAGGTTTCTCTCCTGTTGTCAGACCATGCCTTGGGATATCTAGTTTTTGTAAATAATTCTTACTTCTACATTGCTGAGGAAAAAATGTTCATTGATATGTGGTGCATATGAAATATCTACTTTTCATATGCAAGTTGTTCAAGCTGTAAAATATCAGGAACAAATGTAAACACACCGTGGCAGTTAGGAACAAATTCAGTAGCTGGTAACATTGGCAAGGTATGATTGGAAAACCTTTGGCAGACCTAGCAACAAGACTGTTGCCTGAGTTTCTAAACAACAGAAAGAAATATGTGTTGTTCTGTGCCAATGAGGATCTGACTTAAGACTCTAGTAAATATACGGGCATCGGACTAGGGGACCTCTAGGGGTCCCTTCCAACCCAAAACATTCTATGATTCTATAAAAAATAGAAATATAAAGTCTGCATTCTTCTATTATTATTTTTGCTATATATTCAACTAATTAACATCAATGCAATTTCCATGCTGATGTCAGTGCCTATGTGTTCTCCGTGATGTTTGACAATGGTCTTGGTTCATGATACAGGCTTAGAAATACAGAATTCGTTGTTCTAAACTGAATTCTATTATTAATCTTTAGAAATGAACGCGTATGGATTCTGCTGCATTAGGGTGCCTAGAAAGTGCAGAAGTACATTTCTGATTAACAGTCATGACTGGGGTACTCCTGTACTCAGAAGCAAAGGACAAAAATAAAATGCGTAATATAAATCTGCCCCAAACCAAAAATTGTATTTTAATCATGATTGCTCCCCTGCTTGGGAACGAAGGAGAGAATGAAGTAAACATGAGAGATGTTCATCACACTGCGAGCAGTAGTTAAGGCACTTTGGGGATGAAAGCCTGGTTTATTGGGGGTGCAGGCAGGAGAGCAAAGCTGTGCCAGTCTTGATGGCAGGGGAAGGTCCAGCCTGTGCCTGTGAGCAGTGTCTCTCTTGGAGCATCTCTTCCCATCCTGTTACCTTCTCACAGCGCTGTCCGCACAGAGGCGGCTTGCTAGGTTGTATGTAAGAGTGAGAAAGCTCCGTGTGTCTGCTCTTACATGCTTCGGCTTTAGCTGATAACTGGTAATTCTCCGTGAGTCAAAGGTTAGGGAACTGCAGGTAAATCACTGGCTTCATAGAGCAAAGAAAATACATTTTACATTTTTTTCTGTTGTGGTAATAGGGGGCTTTAAATGATTTTAAAATACTCAAATAATGTTTAGTCCAAAACAAAAAAAAATTATGCTTTTATGTAGTTATCATTTTTATACTATCTTTCACAGAAAACCACATTTCTGTTTTGGACGAAGTTATAGTTTGGATCTGATACAGTGAGAGGAGAAATAAAATTGTCAGCTGATGTCTCCCCACTGAGTCAGCAGCCTGCGCGCGTTCACAGTAACTGGTGCTTCATGCTGAACTAACTGCACATTCAAATCATCCAGATTTAGATAACCTCTGTGGTTTTTTCTGAGTATGGTTTTGAACAAAGTCAGACTGGCTGATGTTTCAGGTATCGGTCTTTGATAGATATTTCTGCTCTCAGTGTCCTAATCCTGGACAAACTGATGTTACCTCTAAGGCAAAGATATAGTATCTGTTTGGTTTAGTGCTTGACTTAATGTAATCTGCCAACCTTATAGTCTGCCCAAGCTCTCTAATTCCTTCTTGTCTTTAGATACACAAATCATTTGAGGCAACTACTCAGGCTGAGCAAAATAAGCTACTGACAAAGGAAGCTGAATATTATGGTGGTATTTGGAAAGATCACGAGCAAATGCAAAGTTACAATCATCTGGTGTAAATCAGCGCGGCTTCACTGGTTTGCACAAGCTGATGATATGGCTCCAATGTCCTGTATCCTCCCTGTGTTTCTTAATTTTATAGATTTTTTTGGTTTGAAAAGAGGATTCTGAGCAGCAGCTTTTTTTGTTTGAGGCCAGGCATTTTTATATCAATTTTCCATCTGTCAGATATGCACTCAATGTCTGGATTATGTCAATTTTGCAGTGCTCTATGGAGCTGTTCCTCATATTCACTGGAGTGAGCAGAGAATTAAATTATCGATTTGTTGAGAATACGTGATTGTTGTTTTTCTGTTGAAAAGTAAAACACTTAAAAACCAAAAAAAAAAAAAAAGAACATTCCTTCCAATAAAATAAATAAATAAGTAAGTAAAATTTACCTTTTATTCTGGAAGAACTCCCAGCTAAAGAGTGAACACACGAGCAACTGATGATTCAGCTCCTCAAGCTAACAGGACACTGAACAGATAGATGCTGAAAAGGAGCCAGAGAACATTCCTTTGTTGAAGAGACCAAGTTTGAACAAACAAGCACAAAAATGTTCTTTAAAACAAAAACTGCAAGAAGCTCTTCCAAAACATTTGGCTTTAAAAGGTTTCAGTTACAGCAGTGCCCAACAGATTTGCTGTAGCTACAGCTTCTGTGTTTCTATTATAAACACTCAACTTCAGAATGAAAAAAAGGTGGTGGAAAAATGGCACATGCGAGAGACGGGGCTGAGAGCTGGGGTCGGAAAGTGAAGAGTGCGGAGGCCTGCATGGTCGTTCTTTTGTGTGTGTTCGTGTTTGAACATTGTTCAAGGTTTAAAAAACAAATGAAGAGGTTTGCTCTCCAGCAATATTAGCAGTGATCCGTATGAAACATGCCATTCACACTGGGGATCACAGCAGAACTGAGTATCCCTTGTAGCCGTGAAGCTAATGCCCAGTATGGATGAAATTCAGGCCACTTGGATTTATCTGCCAAGGATGTGTTGTGTAAAGGACTCTCAGGAACCCGGGAGGGGCAGGCCTTCATGGCCCCTCTTGGTTTGGGTTGTACTCCTCTGGATAAAACCTTGATGTTTAAGTAGTTCGAAATCAGATGCTTTCATGATCCCATGGAACATTTGAAATCTCTGAATAATGCTTTGGATTAAACTTTTTTTTTTTCCCTTTGAAAACATCAATATCTTGAAACAAAAACAATTTCCAAAAATGCATCAAATTCTCTATACAGATTTCTGATTTAGTGAGAGCAAGATCCATACATATAACCTGGAACAACTCATTCACTGGTGATTTAGGGTATGGTTCCAAAATACCAGTGAACCAGGTTTTAGTCCTTCTTGCAATGTAGGGACTTTATTTTTTATCTTTCATATATTGATATTTCTTTCTCAGAGGAGTAGCTTGCCATCACGGGAAAATGCCCTGGTCAGGATGCTATTAGCTAACTGTGAAGACTTCAAGTTTCTTTGTCATAATGCTGGTTTTATTTTATGACCCAGCTTTGTTTTGCCACATTAAATTCAGAAAAAAAAAAACCAAAAAAACCTCTACGGTTACAGATTTTCACCTCTAACCCAAGATCTTTTCATTACCGCAATTTGTCATTTTTTAAGTATCACCTCCTCAACAAAACCAGTTAAGGTCTGGATGTGAGCTCCATAATGGCATCAGAAAATGAAACAGAATAACACTGAAATGCTAATGGTGGTGGCCTTTTGCCCGTGTTGCTTAGATGCAGGGCAGATCCTCTGCAGACATGCTGGCTGGGGAAACAGAGAGGGCAGAGATGTTCCCAACTTGCTGGGAGTGTTGCAGCACTTCTAACAGTGCAACTTGATGTCCTCCTCACCTCTGAGAGTCAAATCTGAGCCTTAACTTTTGCATTATCATACTATTTTTATTATTAATAAATATGTTTTCTGGCTATGTTGTGTTGCATGGGGCTCTCGTGTTGCCCTTTTACTCAGGCATTGCAGACAACTCCCTTGCTATGATGAATTCTCATGGGCTTAAAATTATGCTCGGTCATTGCATTCCTCCAGTTTTGTACAATTAAATTCTCCCCAAAACAACATAGAGTGATACAAAGGCAAGTAGGACTCAAATTTGGGGAATTTATCTGAAATTATGTGAAATTCAGCACAAAATCTTTCTGTAGGATTCTGAGGTGTAACTCAGTGTCCGGAACAATACTCTGGGACATGAAAGACAAGGGAAAACATGTTTGATGGTTGGGAACTATCTACTGAATAGCTTTTAAATTTTCAGTTTTTAAGTTTTTCTTCTCAGCAAGTTGGAAAGTTACAAGAAAATAGACCAACAGTAAACTATCAACAATATTTTTTGTTAAAAGATGTTTTAAGAGGGCAATATAGTCGAAAAAGTGGTTGGTCACAGAACTGTGAATTTTAGACTCTGACACAGCCTCTCTTGCAGGTTTCATGAAGAAGTAATACCAAATTTGTTCCTATCTTCTGTACCTTCATTGCCTATCCTTGTGGGGAACGTTGGGGGCCCAGGTGTGCAGTCCACAAAATCAATGTATACTGTCATGGTTATGGTAACACAGAAGAATGGAGAAATTTTTACCCCTATGTGCATTAACCATACAAATCTGTCCCTACGTTATGATGTAGGTTTTTTCCCGACCAGTCATTCCCCAAAAGTAGTTTCTTCCTAGAAAAATAGGTTCAAAATCCAG